TTTTTTTTTTTTTTTTTTTGGGCCCATTGCTTCGTGCCTCCCGATGTAGCCGATCCAGAGGCTCAGTAGCAACGATCTCGAAAGCCCCGCGCTCAGTCGCGATCCTGGAGATGCCCTTTCTTTTCGCACATTTTTTAGTGCCTGGAGACTGCGATCTTTCGAGGTCTTTGCCGCTCTGCACCGTGAGCTGCAGCTTTGCGCGGTTACAGATTCGCACCGACCGCTCCACTCTTCCTGCCCTCTCACCAACTGACACTCGCTGCCAGGTGCCCAGTCGTCCCCCACTTGGCTGCATCTCAGACCAGCTACGATCCATCAATACCACACTCGCACGCACATCGGCGCATCCTCCTCATCATGGGAAAGAAGAAGGGCGCCAAGAAGGGCGGTGCCGACGATTTTTGGGACGAAGCCGGCGAGTCCATCGACAACAACAACGCCGCTCTCAATGCTGACGACGACCAAGATGAAGCACCCACTCACAAGGCCAAGAACCTCTTTGCAGCCATGTCGCTCGACGACGGCGCCGACGACAACGACGATGACGATGACGATGCGCCACCGCCGTCCAAGAAGGACAACAAAAAGGCCGCCAACGGCAAAGCTGCCAAGGACTCCGAACCTGCGCCAGCCCCAGCACCTGCCGCCGCTGACGACTACGACGACAGCTACGGTCTGATGGGCGCCATCAAGAACGCCAACAAGAAGGGCAAAAAGGACAAAAAGAAGAAGAAGAAGAACGACGACTTTGACTTTGACGAGTTCGCCGAGGACGTCAGTGGCAACGCCGTCGCTCCCGCCGAACAAGCCGACGCCGAAGATGACCTCGCAAGCAAGGCACCAGTCCAGGGCACCATCGACGACATGCTCGACGACGAGTTCCCCGAGGACAAGCCAAAGAAGAAGGCCGCCGCCCAGAAGCAGACGCAGGACGAAGACGCCGCTTCCGCTGCCGCTGATGATGCCGATGACGGTGCACCGCGCATCCTCACCAAGAAGGAGAAGGAGAAGCTCAAGAAGGAGAAGGAAAAGGCAAAGAAGAAGGCCCAGGCTGCCGCCAAGAAGGCCGCCTCCTCATCACAACCCGCCAAGCAGGACGCAGCAGACGACGATGACGATGCCGCCGACGCCGACGCTGCCGACACCTCCAAGGGCGACGACGCGCCTGCCGCTGCCTCCTCCGCCTCCAAGAAGAAGAAGAAGGGCAAGGCCGCCGCTTCCGAGCCGGCTCCGGCCGCTACGCCAGCACCTGCCTCCGGAAAGAAGATCAGCCCCGCACTCGCCGCCCTTCAAGCCCGCATCGCTGCGCAGAAGAAGGCCGAAGAGGAGGCAGAGCAGGCCAGACTCGAGGCCATCCGTGCCGAAGAGGAGCGCGAGCGTCTCGAGCAGGAGGAGGAAGAGCGAAAGGAGGCCGCCAAACGAGCAAAGAAGGAGAAGGAGAAGGCCAAGAAGGAGCAGCTCAAGAAGGAGGGCAAGTTCCTCACCCCAAAGCAAAAGGCAGAGAAGGCGGCCGCAGAGGCCAGGATGCAGGCCATGATCCAGGCCGGTCACATCAAGGTCGAAGGTCTCGAGAATCGCGAGGCGAGTGGCAAGCCCGCCCCTGCCAAGAAGCGCGCCGTCGTCGACAACCGCAAGAAGAAGGGTCCTCAGAAGCGTGAAGGCGGCCTCACCATCCCCGAACCCGTCGCCGCTGACGAAAAGAAGGACGACGAAGAGGCCAAGCCCGCTCCTGCCGAGGCTCCAGCTGCAGAGAAGGCTCAGACGCCCGCTCCGGTCGAGGAGGCGGCCAAGGCCGACGAGCCTGCCGAGGAAGACGAGGATGTCAAGGACAGCTGGGATGCCGAATCTGAGGATGAGGACGTTAAGGACAGCTGGGACGCCGAGTCCGAAGACGAGAAGCCCTCCGCATCCAAGGAGCAGGCCAAGTCGGACGCTGCCGCCGCTCCCGCCAAGACCAACGGCAAGGCTGCCGCCGACAAGGCCGAGGAGGACGACGCCGAGGACGCCGAGGACGACTCCGAGGACGATGACTCCGACTCCGACGACGACTCGGGCAGCGACGACGACTCGGATTCCGACTCGGACGACGGCATGACCGCTGCGCAGCGTCAGGCCGCCGAAAAGAAGGCTCAGGCCGCCGAGCGCAGGAAGGAGCGTACCGAGCAGGCCATGGCAGCCAGGAGCCGTGACGACCTCCGCAGCCCAATCTGCTGTATTCTCGGCCACGTTGACACGGGCAAGACCAAACTGCTCGACAAGATTCGCCAGACCAACGTCCAGGAGGGCGAAGCAGGAGGTATCACCCAGCAGATCGGTGCCACCTACTTCCCTACCGACGTGCTCCAGTCCAAGACCGCCGTGCTCGACAAGGACTCGCCGTTCGAGTACAAGGTGCCCGGTCTGCTTGTCATCGACACGCCAGGACACGAGTCCTTCACCAATCTCCGAACGCGAGGTTCGTCGCTCTGCAACATCGCCATCCTCGTCGTCGACATCATGCACGGCCTCGAGCAGCAGACCATCGAGTCCATCCGACTGCTCAGGGACAAGAAGACGCCCTTCATCGTCGCGCTCAACAAGATCGACCGTCTCTACGGCTGGGACCCCACTCCCAACGGCGCCTTCCGCGACAGTCTCGAGAAGCAGCAGCGCGCCACGCGCAACGAGTTCGAGGAGCGCACCAATCAGGTCATTGTGCAATTTGCCGAGCAGGGCCTCAACGCCGTGCCGTACTACGACAACAAGAACATGGGCCGCAACGTCAGCCTGGTGCCCACATCGGCCTTCACCGGCGAGGGTATCCCCGACATGCTGCGCCTCATCATCGAGCTCACCCAGACGCGAATGAGCGAGAAGCTCATGTACCTCTCCGAGCTCGAGTGCACCGTGCTCGAAGTCAAGGTCATCGAGGGTCTCGGTACCACGATCGACGTCGTGCTCTCCAATGGTGTCATGCACGAGGGCGATCGCATCGTCGTGTGTGGTCTCAATGGACCGATCGTCACACAGGTTCGAGCGCTGCTTACTCCGCAGCCGCTCAAGGAGATGCGTGTCAAGGGCGCCTACGTGCACCACAAGATGGTCAAGGCGGCGCTCGGTGTCAAGATCGCAGCTCCGGATCTCGAAAAGGCGATCGCCGGCTCGCGCCTGCTCGTCGTCGGCCCCGATGACGACGAGGAGGACCTCAAGGACGAGGTGATGAGCGATCTCAGCTCGCTCATGAACTCCATCGACACGTCCGGTCGCGGTGTCTGCGTGCAGGCGTCGACGCTCGGATCGCTCGAGGCGCTGCTCGAGTTCCTGCGCGTCAGCAAGATTCCCGTCAACGGCATCAACATCGGCCCCGTGTTCAAGAAGGACGTGGTGCGATGCTCGACCATGCTTGAAAAGGCCAAGGAGCTTGCTGTCATCCTTGCATTCGATGTGCCCGTCGACAAGGAAGCCGAGAAGCTTGCCGAGGAGCTCGGAATCAAGATCTTCACCGCCAAGATCATCTACCACCTCGAGAATGCCTTTACCAAGTACCACAACGAGGTGATGGAGGGCAAGAAGAAGGAGGCGTCCGGAACCGCCGTGTGGCCGTGTCGTCTCAAGACCATCGCGTGCTTTGCCAAGCGTGATCCCATCATTCTTGGGTGCGACATTATCGACGGCTCTTTGCGCGTCGGAACGCCACTGTGTGTCGTCAAGACGGACCCGACCACGCGCAAGAAGACGGTGGTGCATCTGGGCAAGGTGACGTCGCTCGAGATCAACCACAAGGAGCGCGACGTGGTGCTCAAGCGAGACGTCGGCGGTGGTGTGGCGGTCAAGATCGAACATGCCGTGCACGAGTCCGCCAAGATGTTCGGCAGACACTTTGAGGAGAACGACGTGATCGTCTCGCACATCAGCCGCGCCTCCATCGACGCCCTCAAGGCCCACTTCTGGGACGGCATCTCCACCGACGAGAAGAAGCTCATCAAGAAGCTCAAGGGCGAACTCGACATTCCGTGATTTGGCCCCCCCTCCAGAGGATGCGCATTCACCCTTGCCTTGCATTGTACATATCCACGTCTCGCAGCCAGCAATTGCACATGCTTGCCACCAGCCCATCCGTCGTGGCGCGCGAGTGAGTGAGGAGGAGGCCTGAAAACGAGCACAGATCCTTCAGAGATCAAGTGTGCGCAGCAAAAGCTGGGTATAGATACGCAATGTTTCGCGCGATGTGTATCGATCTATCCCGGCTAGCTCAGTCGGTAGAGC